TGATCAACAGGTACAGAGCTCTTTACAGACTAGAACAGCAAGCTGTGACACCTCCATCAAGACAGAGACACAGCAACAAAACCAAGAAACAACTTCTACAAGTGAAGACACATCTCAATCAACTAAGCTACAAGTAAACATGAGGGATATCGCCGCAAGTTGTACCAAATTGGAAGGGCATATGTCTCCAAAAGGTATGCAGAGCTCTTTTGAGAACCAAAAGGATACAACATTGAAATGCCAAATCACTGAATGTGCCTCTCTGCCCCCACTGATGGTATTTGAAAGTCTACATCATCCAGTAAAAGAGGCTAGCTTCAACTTTAAAGGTTTTCTCAGCATCAGCAAACCAGCACTTCCTCTTCAGACAGAATCAACCATTGGCCAGAGAAATACTTACCTGCATGGAACAGAAAATGAACCTACTGCCACTGAAGGAGGTAAAAAGGGAAAAAATGGAAAGCAGAGAGAAAAAGTGGAACAAGTGGAAATGCCATTTAAAGAGTCAAAGGACTGCAGAGAAATGACCAGTACATCCCAAATGCATGGTGAGACTACTGTAAAGCTTGAAGAAAATGTCAATGTAATTATGAGTAGCTGTGAAGACGATGGAAAAGTGACAGATGAAACTCCTGATGTCAGCAAGAGAAATCCTGTTATATTTTCATCACTGTCAGCTGCAGGTGAGACCACCTGTGTTACTGAAGCTAAAGACATGGTTAATGAAACTCTGGAAGATGCTGAAGTAAGTAAAGAGAAACAAGAAAATAAAGAATGTATGAATAGTGAGAAGAATAGTGTTTTACTACAGGATGTATCTCCACAAGAGGGTCGTAACAGCAGCCCTGCTGTGGATGGTGAGCGGGCTGATATGCCTGTGTCTGAAGGAGTTGAACAAAGAAATACTGAAGTTCTACTTAACACCAAGGAAAATCTGGATGAAGAGACTGATAAATCAAAGGGATGTGGGTTACCTGAAGCAGGTGATATAGAACTAACATGTCCAGGTAATTCAGAGAATCTTGTGAATGACAGTCGAGAGCAAAAGCCAGAAAAATGCACATGTGAAGTTGAGTCACAGGTAAAAACCAGCTCCATGTCTCCAGCAGCTGCCCCAGACATAGACAGCATGTGCCCTTGCACTCAACCAGACAAGAAATTCAACACCGAGCAACCTACTACAACCTCAGAGATGCCATTTCTGTCAAAAGCAGATGAGTGTACAGACATGCTGCCCTATCAGACTGAATCACAGTACAGTAATGAACTAATGAAAAATGATGCAGCGGATGCTGGGGACACAACTGTCCCTTCTCTTTCTGCAGCGGAGACTACAGTACCAGCACAAAGGGATCTTTCCTCAACCACCACACAAAGCACTAACAGTGATGCCAGGGATGTGACTGTCATTGTACTAAATGCTCCAGGCCCAATGCTGAGTCACTGTGAGTTCATTAATGACAGTGATATTACTGTAGCAGGACCCGGAGAAGATTGCAGTGTGAACTGTGTGTGTGATTCTGACACAGATATTGTAAAGAATATTACAGACAAAACTAATCAACAATCAGATGCGAATGAAGAGATGTTAAGATCTCAAAATGCAGATGATCCTCCCTACCCTGTTGGTGTCTCCACACAGGAAATTGTAGCATCATCTGGGTCCCTTCTGCTCACAACTGACAGGGCAGAAGAGGCAGGTGGTTCAACTCTAGTGTTAAAGAACCCAGATATTGTTGGAAATGCAAAGATGAAACAGAATGAAGCATCTAAGTGTATTGGAGAATTGGAGGATGTTAGAAAAGGGAAGAGTGAAGGACGTTTTAATTCTATACATGAAAATGATTTATGCAATGCACCTACAAATGTTGCTACAGAAAATGAAGTAATTAATAAAGACACGTATGAAGAATTCAAGCATGTGAAGGGGGAAGAGGACAAAAAGAAAAGTGTAAAAGAAACCGAAGAAAAATCCAATGCAAAAAATGAAACTAGTTCCTCGCAGGAAGAAGAAATTGAACAAAAAAACGGAAAGCAGGGTGAAATGAAGGAGCAAGAAGAAAGGCCTATTAAAAAGCAGAAGAATAGTCGAGAAGAGACAGATACCTCTGAAACATCCTGTGCTGATGAAATGCTTCATTATCAACCAGCTTTGACAATTCAGCAAAATCCTAATGATGAAATCAAATGTGATTCACTCCTGATGAACTTGGAGGACAATCTCGTTACACTTTTGACTGAGGAGCCTGTTCAGCATGTGTCTGTAGACAATGTAAAACTGAATAAAGATGTATCCAAAGGATCCAGGCAGGTGATAGGAGGAGAGCAAAACAGGGAGTGTGTGCAAGAAAATGAGGTACAAAATGTCAAATTAATTGCGGACAAGGACTGCAAAAAGAGAACAGATATCTCTCAAGAACAGGATGAGGCTGCTGCAAAAGAAAAAGCTGATCAAACACAAGAAGAAAATCAGACATTAATAAATCTCTTCAATCTATCAGGAGAAAAAAAACTTGTAGATGAAACCATTCCAAGAGGAAAATTGCAGTGTAGCCCTGGTTTAACCTCCAAAGGGATTACAGAAGAGGCTCTGGGTTGTAGAGGGGCACTAACTGAAAAATCTCCTCCAGTCATTGATCAGACCCTGTCTGCAGTGGTGAATGCTTCTCCTGAGAGAGATCACACACAAGATCCAAGAGGTTTGAGCCAGTCAGATTTGGCATTTTCACAGTCCCAAGAGCTCCAGCAGCAACAGAAGTTTGTGAGTGCACTTGAAGCAGTGTTAAGTGTGAGTAAAAGCAACGTTTTAGAAAATGCTGAGACCAATAACAATGCAGATGCTGAGGCAAGTGAAAAGGAAGGGAAGGTGACAATGTATTGTAGTGCAGAGGCTCAGAGATCCCTAATCAGCACTTCAGAGAGTGCCACACTGGTGGGGGGCTATGACAAAGATGTTGCTGTGTACAATATATGTCTAGAGAATGAAAAGAAGGCAATACAAACAATCAATCTTAATGGTGGTAAAATTCCTGTTTGTGGGGAAAGTACTACAAGTGAAATACAAACACAGTCAGATCCCAACTTGTCTGTAACAGCATCGTCAGCTTCTGAAACTTCAGAGGTCAAACGGGTTATAGAGGCAATAGAGGCAAAAGAGCCTTCCATCTCAGCATCACAGGAAAGTGTGAGTAAACATGCAGATTGTACCAAATCACAGGTCAGTGCGGATGAGCATGGGAATGTTTGTAACGAAATACTTGACACCAAGAAAGGCTCCGAATTTCCTGTAAATCACTCAAGTGGGTTCACTGTGATTCCCACCCTCTCACACCATGAAGGAGGACTAAAAACAGAAGAGAAATGTTTAGACTCTGTTACCTCTGGAGACACTGGAAACACTGAGATCAGTTCTGATTCAATGAGTGATGTTGCACAGATGTCTCCTGCAGGAACGTCCCGAATTCAGCAAGAGAAAGAGTTAATTTTTCAGCCCTCTGATTGCCAGATCTCCACCACCACATCCTCTTTTTCTGCTTCTGTGCTCCAGAAAGGTATTAAAGAGGAAAAAGAGATAAGTGTGGATCAGGCCTGTAAAGATACACTAGAACCTAACACTCCTAATTCCACTCCCCAATCTGAGACAGCCAGCTGGAGGATGGAGCAGCTTAATAAGCATTTGTCAGAGCAATTCCCAGACGGTACCCAAAACACAGAGGAGCAGGATACACAGTGTTCTGAACAGCAGCTCGTGCAGTTACAACATGTAGTAACTTGTTTGGACACTGAAAACACAATCAGTACTATGAAAGAAGAAGACACAGTTTCAAATGGCTTACAACAGCGAGAAGGAATTCAAGAAGAGATAAGTAAACAGATGGCGAATGAGGAACAGAACAAGGCCACTGAAAAGGATCACACAGAAATGTCCAAAGGGGCTGAACCTAAGTCTTCACAGTCTGTAGTGAAAGAAAACATCTCCAAAGAAAAGTTGGAGGAGCAGTCTTTATTTTCCCCTGATGAAGCAATAGTTGATAATGTAGACCAGCAAATTGAAGAAGTTTCTAATGGGACACTGACAGAAATGAAACCGGTTGTGTCATTGTTATACCCTGAGACCTCTGTCTGCTTAGTGACTGACCCCCAGGATTCCCTCCAGTTCCCTCCTGCAGTCAATCAACAGTCTAGTCAGCAGCCCACTAAGTCTTTTATCCAAAGTTTACGTCAAAACACCACAAATACAGTTAAAAGTAGCAGTGAGCCAAGTCCTGACATAGCAGATAACTCTCCTGGAGACATGGAATCCCTTCTAATCAATAAAGCAATACAGAAAGATGACAGTGAAGCTATTGAAGATGAAGTCAGCAAGGTGTCAAAAGCTGCAGATGTGTTGCTGGGTTCATGCACAGGAACAGTAGAGGTATCACAGGTTATCAACAGTTCAGACAGCCAAGTCCTCAGTGAAATCTTTATACCTGAGAGGTCAGATACAGTAAACTCCTCCGAAGGTTCTGATTGGCTCAGAGCTCTGAAGGAGGCAGCCTCCATGTCTCAGATCATTCCAGAGCACAGAGTTGAGACTACCTGTGGATCTACAGAAAACAGGTACTTTTCAAATTGATGTTTGCTTTTAAAATGAGAGACAGTGAGGCAAAATGACTTAGTTGCGCTCATAGAAATGTTGAAAGAAATGTAGTGCATTTCATTGACACACAGATACAAAAAAGTATGTTTTATGCTCTTGTGACGTTCTGAGTGAAAATGGGGCCAAGTACAAGTACTACAGCCCATTATCTCCTGAGGGTGAGCTCAACAGTGACATCAACTCATGCCCTTTAGGGCAAGAAAGAATCCTTTCATACCCACATGCAAACACACACTGGACTTCTCATATTTGAGCGCGACACGTACACTTTCATGCATACAGGCTATAAGACGTTTGCATTGAGACATACAGTAAGCATAATTTGTTCATCTGCTATTTCTGTTTATTTTCTCTCCAGACCATTTGAGATCCACAGTTTGCCTCAGGCTGAACTAGAATTCCGAACCCCAACTGAAGAATATTTTCCCCCTGCACCTGAAGAGAGTTTTCCCCCTGCACTTGAGGAGAGTTTCCCCCCTGCGCCTGAGGAGAGTTTTCGCCCTTGGCCTGAGGAGAGTTTCCCCCCTGCGCCTGAGGAGAGTTTTCCTCCTGCTCCTGTGGAGAGTTTTCCTCCTGCACCTGAGGAGAGTTTTCCTCCTGCTCCTGTGGAGAGTTTTCCTCCTGCACCTGAGGAGAGTTTTACCCCTGTTACTAAGCAGACAGAAGAACCACTAGACTGCAGGTGAGACCTCCTACATGCTCCTTATGCACTTTATGCACTTATGCAATAATCATTAAATTATTTAATTTATTTACCACTTTCTTGGTTTGTTATTGAGTTAGTTGCTACTTGCCACAAAGAAATCCTTCTTAAATGATGACTATTTAGACTACAGGCTGCGAAAATAGTTATGTTTAGGTCCAGGGAACAACATATTTGATAGAAGGATCATGCAGTACAGTTGGGGGCGTCACTTTTTTGGAAATTTGTACATTCTTTATTTGTCTGGATGGGCTAAATCTGATATTGCGTAATGCATTTTGTCCGTATTATTGCTTAAAGGTGGGGTAAGCGATTTCTGGTAGCCAATGTTGACATTTGAAATCACCAAAACAAACACGCCCCTACCCCAAAAGGGTCTCGCCCCTATTTTGATAGCTCCGCCCCACACATACGTACGCAACCCAGGCAACGATTAGTTCTGTGAAACAAAGCAAAACCAATGTTACACCGTGTCTACACCGGACGCGAGTGGCGCGGCGCGACAAAATACTATAGATCTCATAATCAGTGATGCTGTCTACACTATAGATATATATACATATCTATGGTCTACACTGGATGCGGCGCGACACGACAAATCCCCGACAGAAAACTGCTGCTGCGTTCTATTCATGACGTATTGTCACAAATTTCAAATGATTTTCAACGGTCGTTTTGTCGCATCCAGTGTACTAGACAGACTTTAGCTGTTGCGGCGCAGACACAGTGTTACTCACCTATCGAGAAGAAAGCAAACAAAGCAACCTCGGCGTCAGATCGCAGGCCTTTCTGTTCCTTGAGTTCTCTCCAGCACTGGAAAGCTGATTCGATATTTACACGGGTCCTACTTCTTGCCTTATTGCCTTAAGCTATTGCCTTAAGCCTTCGTTTGTTCCGCAGACGTTTTCCTCTTTTGTTTTTTATCCGCCATCTCTATCTTTCTGTCGCTCGGCTCGGCTAATGTTCGTCCTGTGAACTCTCTCTCCTCCACATCATGAGTAGACACGCCCCTTACTGCTGATTGGCTACAAGTTTGTTTTGCTATTCGGCCCGAATCAGTTTTCTAAAGCGTTTTTGAAAAATCGCTTACCCCACCTTTAAATGAAAAAAAAAAATTGTTACGTGGGTGATCAAAGACCTATTTGTTGAATTCTTTTAAAGGAAATGTTTAGTATGGAGCATTGCAATGTACGCTTCCGTTAGGGGAATTTCTTATCCTCTCTCGTTTTGTCATTACTCCCCATTGCCTCTCTTTAGTCTATATCTGCTCTGTTGCAGCAGCCACAACAGATGAAAGTGGAGCACTTGGTGCTTGTCAGTCAGAGGTTTTAGCCTAGCCTAAAGAAAGATGAGAGAGTGGTGGACAGTGATAGGGAGTGAGAATGAGGGGAAAGAAGAGAGAGAAACTTTGACTGTGTGCATTTGTCCCAGTATCCCTGAATGGCCCACTCTTTGTTTCTTGCCACAGATGTGGACTAAAGGAATTTTGCATGTATCTGTCAGTATGTGTGTGTGCGTGCACGTGTCTTGCTTAAGCATGCATATGTGTTTGCTATTTGCACCAACGCCCTCACATGAGGTCATACCAAGAGGTCTGTCAGTGTGGAACAAAAGCCATAGTTCAGGGCCGTTTCAGTTGAGAATATTACTCTGTGTGTATAGATAGATAGGTAGATAGCTACTCTCGAGACTCATAGAAAATGAGAGAGAGATACGGATAAATAAAAGAGAGAAGGAATGTGAAGTGGCTGCCTGAGGAATTTTGAGTGGCTTGCCTAAAAGAATAGTCACACACTTTACTCTGGGTACTGATCTCGGGTGAGTTCCATACCTTCTTTGCTGTTTAAAATGTAACATATTTCTCTTTTGATTTTACTATTAGTGTGAAGTGCTGGAGAGTACAGCCTTGTGGATATTTGGAGAGATGTTGTTAATTACATATGGTTTGTGATGATCTCACTGGATAGATGGGGGGAGGGACAGTAGGAAGACAGGGAGGGAATAAGGAAGTGTGTTTTGAAGTCTGTCTCTCTCTCATTCTTTCAAATTTGCTAGCTTGCTCACTCTGTTTGTTTTGACAGTGTCAGACACCTGATGATAATGATTTGCTCTGTGTTGACAGAAGGTTAAATTCCGTTATTGTAAGGAATGTATTAGAATACACAGGACTTTATGGGTGCAGTTAAGATACCTTTGCTCTTGGTAATGTGCGATAAACACCTCTGTAAACAACCTGTGTTGCTGTACTAAACCTGCTTTTATACATGAACCCATAAAATGCTGTGATATATATTGTTTGTGGTATATGAATTTACTTTATTTTATTTTGGAATGCCCAAAGAGGGTATTTTGAACTATGTGGCTTTTGAGGGTTTGTGTGTAAATGAAATACAGTGCAAAACTATAGCCTGATGGTTTTAGTCAGATGTTTTAGGCTAGCTACCAACTTTCCACATGTACAAGCTAATATTATCTTGTTGAGATAACTGCAGATTTTAATAAAAGCCTGCACAGCTACCATTTCATTAAAGCTCTTTGGTTACCCTTCAGTGGAATCTAGAGAACATGTTTATTTTCTGTTGGTATTTAGGAAGTTGCAAATGTACTGATAACATCTTGGTGTTAGCGCCTCACCTACAACAGCTGAATGAAAACATGGCAATGTTAAATTTGAGAGCTTGTGCTAATTTTTTATAGTGCCTACCACAAAGTTACCAAATAGGTCACATACAACAGGCTTCCTTGTTTTACACAATTTATGTAGGCCATTATTCCATGTCATTTAGCTAGCTATGACAAGAGCTAAGCAACAGTTACCATGGCAACACAGCCATTGCAGTTATTTTGAGTTAATGGAACAATTACATTAGTGAAGCTTTGAAAAGGGACTCTTAGTCAAAATGGTTAACAATTTTACATTATAAAAGGAGACAATAGGCCTTAATAATTGCAATTATTAAAAGAGAACATTATTAAAAGAGAACAGTGTGACACAGCTCCTCTTAGCTCAAACCTAACCACACTGTACTTATCTAATTATGCCTTAAATATTGCTGTCAGTCAGTTTGATGGAGTGTGCGTATATAGGACTGTGAAAAAGCTGTATGGCGGCTGTGCTAACAGTAGTGACGTTGTTATTTTTATGGCCGGTAACAACTCCTCCCTGCTGCCTTTATTAGTGCTGTCTGTTTGCTATTAACAACCCTGTATGGACTCATTCCTATAGACACAGCTGCTCCTGAGAGATTAGATTTTGTGTTTGAGCTTTTCCTCATAAATCTGGTACATTAGAAACCTTATTGTGTTCATTAAAGTTGTGGTTTGTGGTTATGTCTAACATGCAATCTCCCACTATCCGGCTAAAGCAAAGGAAGGAGAGGATCATGATACTTTGATGCGTGCATAGGCCTGATTAGAGGGCACTTTTGCAAACTGTCTACAACTGTTTCTGATGGGATAGTGCAGTGCTATGTACAGTTGTTTAGGCTGTGTGATGGAGTGAGTTGTATTTTTAGTATATGACATGAGGCACACCCCTTGACAGGAGCAGCTGAAGGGCTGTCTGCTGCTCTGCCTGTTGGATTAGCTTTTGTCTGTGATGTTGCTTAGCTATTGCCATTTTTCCCCCCGCCAAGAGTGCAGGAGGGATGGTAGAAATGATAAATAACATTGTGATTTATTATTGTATGAAAAATAAGATAAAAATTAGATAAAGTTTAAATTTTTGTGTAAATATATATATATACAACATCTATCTTATGTGGTTCATCAGCAAACAAATCGAAGAACAACTGATTGATTTATAATTCATAGAAAATATGAATACACTACCATTAAAATGTTTTGGATTGCCATCTAAAAAAAATAAAAAAATAAAAAAATAAGACTCTTGTGCTCATTAACGCTGCATTTATTTGACCATATAGAATTAAAATACAGTAAAAAAAAAAAGTATTATTATTAAATATTATTACAATTTTAAATAATTGTTTCTATTTTAATTCATTTTTAAAATGTAATTTATTCCTCTGATAGCGAAAACTGAATTTTCAGCAGTCATTACTCCAGTCTTAGTATCACACTATTCTTTAGAAATCATTGTAATATGCTGGTTTGGTGCTCAAGATTTATCATTATTAATGTAGAAAACAGTTGTTTAATATTTTTGCAGAAACTATGATACATTTTGGATTCTTTGATAAATACAAAGTTCAAAAGAGCAACATTTATTTGAAATAGAAATCTTTTGTATAAATGTATAAAAGTTTTGTATAAATTTTATAAATATCTTTACTGTTACTGTAATTTAATAATTTATTTTCTGAATAAAATGATTAATTTCTTTAAAAAAAAAATCATACTGACACCATACTTTTGAACAGTAGTCTATATTTTTAATTAAAAAAATGTGTTTATTTGTTGGATTTGTTGTTTAAAAATAATAATATAAAATATAAATAGAATTGAAAAATCTTTCTTAGTTGATGTCTGAGATCTGAGATCAGCACCTTATTTCTGTTTGTGTACTATGATAATGGTTCTTATGTGAACGATTTCATAGGTACCAGTGCGTCTCTCCTCACCCTGCCCTATGTGTGTTTGCCTGTGTATTTTTGGTGTTGTGCAGGTTTCCTCTGGTAGAAGCTGCTGAGAGGAGTGAGCCTGTCCCCTCTCCCTTATCCCCCCTACCACAGCACGACACTGCTCCTGCCCTCCCTGCCCACCTGCTCCAGGACACAGTCGAGTTCCCCACACCGCCTCCTACCCCTCCGGACAGGGCTCCCCCTGAGCCTCAGACCCTTCCTCCTGCTCCTGCTCCTTCTCCTTCTGGTCTGCCCGAGGCTTCCCCTGCTGCCCCTGTGCCTCCTCAAATCCAACAGCTACAGCACTCTGAGCCTTCAGCAAGGTAGGATATAATTATTTACTGAGTGTGCTAACTGTTTGTTTAACAGTGTACAGTTTTTTTCTTCTTTAGAAGATTGTGAGGATGCCACAAGTGTAGAGATACTGTACACTCAAATTTACTGTGTATTATTTTTGCTTTGTAGTTATTTAAAAAACCTTGGATGAGGCACAGAGCACAACACTTTTACCACTCTTATGCCTTCCATGCGTGGGCATTACAATTCACATGAGGCTGCTTTCAAATGCTCTTCATCCATCCAGTCCGTTCTTAATTATCACACTGGTGAGAATTTATGAATACTGATTAGATTTATTTAAATCGATCTTACTGTAAGACATAATTTCACTTTGCGTCTGGAGGGTTTTGTTGACTGTGCTGATAATAATAATAGCAGTGATGATCCTGAGGGATTTGTGCCATACACTGCATGTACATTATGTACAGTACTGTACACGGAGTACCTCAATACACCCTGTTTCCCCTGTGTCTGTAATAATTTTATGAAGCACCCAGAAATTAATTTGCCATAAAGACTGTTGGCACCAGGCTTTGTATGCATCTTTACAGCACTGTATAAGCAGAATACAGTGGCCCTAAAATCATTTTAATTCATGCTTAAAATGTATGAAAGTCATTGCATCCACTTGTTATACAACAAAATGGCAATATCAAGCAAATGATTCTAGACCTTTACTCAGGACTAAATTCTCTTTTGTAGATATTTTTAATTTTAACCAACTGTTTTCAAGGTGATTTTAGTGGTTGAAGTCACTTCTCTCTCTGTTGTTTTAAGATACTGTATTACCATGGAGTGCGCTGCTGCTACTGTAGGTGACTCATTTCCATTTGTGCACATTGTTGTAAAAGTTTATACATATATCAGAGGCTGTGCTGTGTTTGGATAGAGATCAGGATGACTCAGCCACATTGATGCAGGCCATGAGCTCAGCTTGCATTTCTTCTATCAGACAGCAGAGGGCGAGCGTGTGTGTATGTGTTTCTTTCAGCATTGGAACTGAACTCTGCTGCCCACTGCAGCACACAGCTTGTAAACACACACCAGAACAGGAATATAGCCTACAGTCTAGATAAAAAACTCCCCTACACTGTATGACCCTCAAAGGTACACCTCTGCGCCTTATCTACTCGTAAAGGGATACAGAATGCAGATGCGAGAACCTAATCTTAAAATCTTACATGGAAAAAGCAGCATTTGCATAATGAGATTTGTTTCAGAAGTCCACCACCATCCAGCCAAATATAAACTGATGTCCTCGGGCACCAGCTTGATGCATCTCAACATAAAACGTCCATTAGGGGAATTAAGCCTGTCCCCTCTGCAAACTGCTACAAGGGTATTCCTTCTTTTTTCTCTCTTTCTTTCTCTTTTGAAGGTCATTTTCACTACTGTATGAGTTGTCAGTATATGAACACAGTACACTTAAGTTTTTAAGATACGTTCAGGTAAAACCTGTTTTACAAATGTAAGGGTTTTATGGTCTTTTAACTTAATTTGTTCATCAGTGAACTAATAAAAAAAACAACTGATTGATTCATAATTCATAGTAAATATGAATATACTCTTTACTCTTGTACTATGTTTGACTCTGTTAGTTCAGCCTAGATACTAAAAGCCCATGTTATTAATCTTTTAAAAAAACTGCCTTTGCAATATCTTTCAGTGGCTGCACTGCTTAAAAATTACATTTTTCAATTTCCTGAGCATAGGATGAATTTGTCAGTACACATTATACACTCTCCCTCTGTGTGTTACAGCATTGTTGTAAATGCCTTTTCTTGTAAAGTAATGAGTTATTTAACGTCACTGTCACATGTCTTCCAGTCTGAATCAGACAGCCATTAAATTGGTGACAGGTATTTAAAAACCCCTTCACTGTTGCTGAAATTGATCATGGACGTCTGTGTTTTTTCATCACTCTTGCTCTTTTAAATCAGAGTGAGAGAAAAGTAGCCACTGGCTTCTGCTGAGATGAAAACAAAAGCTGCATGTAGATGCTATAGAACACTGTTCCTTTCCTGGCACAGAATTTTCCAGAAGTAATAAAGCGTATGTCCTTAAATCGCTGAGCTAAGAGAAGGGAAGTCATAATAGGATGCAAGGTTTGAACAGGTTAGTGGTCTCTAGCATTAGGATGGTTGGCTACAGGACCAGTGACCTTGACTAGCATAGAGCTTAGAACATGCCACTGAATCTCATTTGTGTGAACACCCTCAAGCTACAGTATTATCACCCTTTGTGTACTGGTGCTTTTCATTTGATATTTTCAAAATGTTTTGGTAGTGGCAGGCAGTGGACTTGTAGAGGAAATGTGTTTTCCTGCAGTACCAGTTTTTTTCTCAGGGCTAAAGGCATATGGGTCATTATTTACCTTGCTACTTGTAACATGATATTTTATGTTTACATAAACATACTATTTATTCAAGTCAAGCCACATAGTCATCACGTTTTTAAACGTTCTTTTTTTCATAAAAATAATGTGGAAAAACATTAAAATCAATACAGCAGTACATTTAAAAAAATGCATGTCTTAATTTTATTTGTTACTAAAATATGTTGTTTGACTTCTTTTTGACCTTCTTTTTGGACCATTAGTCAACAAATTCTCAGTTAACAGAGCAGGTGTTATGAGGCTTGTAGGAGTTTTCACCACTACCCCCTTACATTCACATCACGCCATTGAAGCTCAATGAAAATCCAATGAGCATTAAGGAGCCACGTTCCCTCTCTCTGAAACCGTATCTATTGCTGTTGTTTGCTGGACAGTGTTTCTGTAGAATAATGAATACTTTATGCAATATTTTATTTTGTATTTTATATTTGTTTTATTTTTGTGCAGTCGATAATTTCTTCATTTTTTTTTTTCTTGAAGAGTCACTGCCCACTTTTTCTTTTTGGAGAAAAGGCCCCTGGCTCAGGGTTTCAGGTTCATCCTAATTTAGCTAATCTCTGTTTCTTTAACACAGGAACACAACAAAGCTTCAGTTAACTTTGGGGCATGAAGACTTTCCCTACTCTCTGTCCAGTCCTCAGGCTCTGTACTGCAAGTGAATAGGCAGATCTGTGTGAAAAGCTCTTTGTTCTACTTTCTCATGAGTGAACAATAGATTTATAATCCTCATGTTTCAGATGCCCCCACCAGTGTCCCAATTCCCCACAACTGCTGTTGTCTCATGCTGTAAATCAATATGGATTAGCTTTTCTTTGAGTTGTCTCTCATTTTCATTCTCATTTTTCCAGATCACACCTACAGACCCTTTCAATAATATATGCACTGCGATTTTGAATATATCTGTCATTTGAGAACATCAGGACTGATGGCTGCTTTCTCCCATGACCTCTTTCTGTTTTCAGGGAGGTTGATATATCATGACTTTGACCTGAGCAAATAGAAAGATCTGAAACCTATGAGAGAACAGCAGTAGTAAATCAGAGAGTCCTCAGGTCTGATGTACATGCAGTTCATTTATGCTTTATTAGTTGATCTGTTTGGATGTTGCTATTAGATACATTGTTTTTCCTGTATACTCTGTTGATTTCATGATGGGCAATTATTTAAATATGTTCCTCTGACCCCATCAAAACCCATTTGACAGACATTTTTGAAGCTTTAACCCTCAGAATGTAGAAATGCACTTTCTAGAATCTTTTTTACATTCTTAGAATGTAAAAATTCATTGCAATTTTATTTATGTACAGAAGTAATGTAACATTTTTAATGTTTGATGCATGTTATCAGGCTGAAATTTTGTTTATACTGTCAGATGATGAAAAATCATGAAACAAATTCTTCTTTATTAAAGAGATAGCTCACCCAAAAATGAAAATGATTTTAGCATTTACTCACCATCTGCATCTTGTTGTTCCAAACTTGTATGAATTTCTTTCTTCCATTGAACAAGAAGATATATTGAGAAATCTCAGTGTTTTGTGATCAATACAATGAAAGTCAGTGGGTTCCAATGTTCCGCCGAAGAAATAAAGTCATACAGGTTTGGAACGGCACAAGGCACAAGTAAATAAAGTAAATTTTCATTTTTTTAAAGTATATTTTTCAAGATACTACTAAATGCCCTAGGGGTCTCTCAGACCCCAAGTAGACCCTGAGAGTTATGTTTCTTATCCAGTTAAGTTTCTGTAATGTGAGAAACCTGCAATGTCACTCTACTTTCACAGGGGAGAGATGGTGTGATTTAGGGCAATAAAAAAATAATAGAAACACAGAGAAACTATGAAACGTGTTCCATAACAAAAGACAGGAGTGACCGCGTGCCTCCGTTTCTGTGTCTTAGTGTGTGAAAAAGAGACCTGTGTCTTTCAGCTTGCATGGGGTCGGCTATTGTTTGCGTTCGCTGTGCTGATCGGCACAAGAGAGCTCAGATCAACAGGGAAAAGCTGCTCATCTTTTAAAGCACTCAGGTCCCTGGGGAGGGAGAGAGAGAGAGAGAAAGAGAGAGGGGGTTAGAGAGGGAGGGGTTATGGAGAAAACCAGCAGCCGCTTCACCAAACGCCACAACAAGCCAATGAGAAGACAGAGTTGAAGACTAGAGAGCAGGAGCATCGCTTATTCCCTCCCTCTTCTCTTGCTCTTCGCATCCTTCCACATCTCTACCCATAAGGCTTAGCAGTCCTGTTCTATTGTTGACAAGGATACACAGCCTTCCCCTGATGCAATGTAGATGGAGACGAGGAAGGAGTCAGAGAGAGCTAAAGTAAGGGATGCTGAGGGCTGAGTGTGGGTCGCCCATATGTCCCTGATGCCATCTGCTCAAAATCTACTGCAGCAAAGCAGTGTGTTTGACGCCAGCCAAAGGGCCCTCAGGACGAGAGACGTGGAGGAACAGGAGGCGCAGGTTGAGGGGAGGGAGACGGGTGCCAGTGGAGATCATATAGCAGAGGATGGGAGCAGTGGAGTCCGCTGAGAACGGACAGCCCCCCTGTCCCTCTCAGGAGCGTCCCGAGAGCATGTGAGTAAGAACCA